TTTGGCCACAGTGTGTCTGTTGGACCGAAGCTCTTTCTGATGTCTTTGCCTGTAGCCATGTGTGTGTGTGTGTGTGTAACAGCGTTTGTATGTGTGTGTCTTTGCTCAGAGCGAGTCATGGTACTGAATGCACATTTCTAACTCTCTCCTTCTCGATTCTTGACACACACACACACACACACGGGCCCCCAGGGGCCGCTGTCACTCATTCCCCCCCGAGCCTCACAGTTGGCGAGCTGTCTCTTCCTCCGCTCGTCTCAATCATCGGCTGCGTCCTCTCCTCCCTCGCTTTCATCTCCTCCTCCTGCACTCGTCCTCTCTCGCTCATTCTCTCCTGTTTTGTTTCGCTCTCATCTCTTTCTCTGTGAAAATTTCATCATACAGTTGATGACAGATGAGTTTCCTTTGATAGCTTGCTCTTGTCTGTCAAAAACTGCGACTACTTACCCAGAAACTGCAGCCTGTAAGTACTCTGTGTGTGTGTGTGTGTGTGTGTGTGTGTGTGTGAGGGTTTCAATCTCAGATATTTACAAATCACACATTATTCTCAGCTGAATAGGTGACTTTGCACGTGTGGACAAATGCATATAGTGCAAAAATCATGTTCAAAATCAATTTACATATTTATTTGAAGCTCAATTGCATTGAATATTAAGGGATTTCAGAGAATTTTATGGTATTACATTTATTATATGCATCTTAAATTATTTTTATTTTTTTTTAAATAATTTTAAAATATAAAAATAATGCATTTTTGTTTTAAGCATTAATTTATTTATTTTTAAAAAAATGTAGTTGCAGTATCTATATAAGCAACATGTATGTATTAGAATATTGAATCAGCCTTTGAGGTGTTTTTTTAATTAGTGTATTGATTTCAATGTCATTTTAATTGCTAATTGAACTGGCGAATCACAGAATATTAACCTTACAGTGACGTACCATGGTCCTTTTGTTCATTGTACCAATTTAGAAACTCCAATGGTGCTAATACTACTGTATTCTTTGAAGGTATACAGTATCGAATACCATAGTATTTATCAGATATTACCATCTATATGATATGACACTACTACATTACTATTTTGTAAGATAAAAAGTATTAGAAAATGACATTTTAGCTCTCTTTAGTGATCTTTGAGTGAGTCAGCGTTTCTTTGTAACGTTTCGTTGAATATCACGGTCGGGCTGAACATATATGCATGTATTTGCATATCTAATCAGTCTTAGAGGGCATTTAGTTGAACACGCTTTCACAGCTAATAACGCTCACTGCATGTCCTGTTTGTCTTTAAATAGTCTGTCGCTTTTAATTGGATTATTGATTCATGTGTTTCAAGGTGAACTAAACCTATGTGGTGTCAAGGACAGGTTATTGATGACATGATGGTTTTTTTGGACACAGCTATTACTGTATGCTAATATCATGGTATTCTCTAGATAATGTGCTGGAAAATCCAGCCCAAAGAACAGATAGTTGGTTTTTATTTGCTCTAATGGTCTGGTGCATATTTCATTTATTTAAAAAAAATATTATTTCATAATAGAGTGCAACAGGAAGGAAAAACGACTCTCCATAGGGAAATTTATCGTAAATTATTTTTAACGATTTTTTTAACGGTAAATTCCACCAATCAGAGAGTCGAAAAATGCACAAAAATGCTCTTTAGCTCCGCCCACTCGCATGAAGCACCATAAATGACGTAATCTAGTCTCTCTACGTTCTCAAAATACTATATTTGAATTTAAAATTGATAATTATGTTTCTCCATTGTTTTTAATTTGATTATGCTGTAATTACGATTTTCAAGTAGTTTATTGCTTATGGACAGGTGTTGAAAATTAGCACATGTGCTATTACACTTTAAACAATGCATCTGGTTCGTCCAATGTTATTGCTATGTCCATATTAAATAAATAAATAAAATAAATAAATAAATGATTGACTTTGTAGCTCGTTGGCCGGGTTCATAGCTTGTAACACTTTAATAAAGACTTTTTGTAAATCCCTGGAAAAAACGAATAGAAAAAAATGTTGCAAATAAGCATTGAAATTTCACTTTCCCAATTTTCCATTCAGTTTTCTATGAGTGTCCTGTGTTCTCTTTCTTATATTGTCTCTGGGGTTAGTCAGTAGTAATTAGAATGAGTGTGTGTGTGTGTGTGTGTGTTCACTGATGTCCCCTCTGGCTTACTGACTCATGTGTGTGTGCTGCTCTGCACATCTGGGTGTTTCTTGGACTGTCCTTTTTCGTTTAAATCAGTGTGTCAGACTCTGGAGCCGTGACCATAGTGGACTGAGATCTCTGGGAAATGAGAATCCGGCTGCTTTTAACTGTCGCTGGCTTTACATAAGCTGCTCAGATGGACCCAGTTTCTCTACAGTGGTTTGAGATGGGAGACCACCTTAGACTGGTTTTGCCTTCAGAACTGGATTAATTCTGTGGTTGAATCACGCAGTCGCTGCAGATTTGTTCACATGATGTGAATCTCCTGTTCCAGAACATCCCTAAACTGCTCTATCAGATGGAGATCTGGTGACTGGAGGCCGTTTGAGTTTCAAGAAACCAGTGTGAGATGATTTGAGCTTTGTGACGTGTCCAATTTTGGACCAAAATGTATTTTTGATGCTTCAAAAACATTGTGACTAACCCACTGATGTCACATGACGTCACACATCACTTTGATGATGTCTTTATTTCCTTTCTGGACAAGGACAGTATACCGTACACACATTTACAATGAATGAAAGCTCTCGGACTAAATCTAAAATATCTTAAACTGTGTTCTGAAGATCTGACGGGTGAGCTAACCCTTTAACGCTTGTCAATGCAGCGAGGCCAGACTCTGTACAGATGAAATGTATCATGAATGTCTGGCGGGAGCAGAATCTAGAACGGTGTCAGATCGTGTCCTTGCTCAGGGAGTTTCCCGGAGCCTCGGCCAATCGCTGAGCACTATTTAGCCAGTTTGTCTTAACTCCCGCCCTTCTCTGCGCACTCCTCCTGGCCAGCACTAATGATACCCTGACCTTTGACCCGCCCCGGCACCCCCAGACACATCCTCAGAGACGAGCCAGGCAGAACTAGCCCAACTCTGAGCCAACAGGCTCCGCAGACGATAGCCGAGAGGATGGCAGCGATGAGACGGGATGAGACGGCGAGAGGAGAATCCGCTGTATCCACACAGAGAGCAAAATGACGAATTCTGCCTGTTTATTTTTACTCGTTTTTTAGTGTTGTAACTTTTACACTATTGTGCTGCTCCTAAAAAATGCAATTCATCATGTTACATCAGTAATATTGGTTCCGATCCAATCGCTTTTTTCAATCTGGGACCTGCGTTAAAAAAATTATATGATTTATTTACTTATTTTTAAAACTGATAAGAACCCGTTCTCAAGAACTTAATTGAAATATCGGCGAATTAATATTAAATACAAATATTAAATGGAAAACTTGCATAAAAAAAAACTTTAACAGAAATTAGAACGGTTGCTAACTGGCAACTAACTGAAAAATACTTAAAATGAGATTAAGCACTAAAATGACTAAAACTAAAATTTAAATAAAATAGATTAAAGCTAAATAAAATGAGTAAAAACGAAACGATTAAAAATGACAAAAGCACATCACAAACGTACTAAAACCTGCACTAGAAACTTACAAAAAAAACTACTTTGAAATATTATATAAATAATAGTAAAATAACACTTTGTTTAGTTTAGTCACTTTGTCATGTTCCCCCATACACTGTAAAAAAAATGTCATGATTTGTTATCATAACGTTTTGTTATCATAACGTTTTTTCTTCAGTCAAATCAACTTAGATAATTTATGTGGTTCAGATAACATAATATTTTGAGTTCCTGATTATTAAATCAATGTCCTTCATTGTATTTCAATGAACTTAAGGTTACTTCATTTTTTAAGTTAAACCAACAATACTTTTTTTCCAGTGTATATTTGAACACCTGAAGTACCTTGTTCACTAAGTAAATAAATTCAACTAGAAAAGTTTAAGACTAACTTTAACTACTTGTCAACCTTATCTAGAGGTTTGAAATAGTAGGTATCAGAAGTATTAATTTATTAACATTTTTACACTGTAAAAAAATTATTGCAGTTATTATTTATCTTAAATTAGAATTCAACATTAGAATAAGAAATAATGTGTTGTTTCAACTTTAAAAAGTATGTGTTTGTGCTTGACTTAAAATATTAAGTTTAGTTAAGTTGGATATTTAAGTTATCTCAACACATTTTAAATTGTAAGCTAATTGCAGCAACATTTTTTAACATCACTTAAACATTTGTTCAATTTAGTCCCCCTGTAGTTAATCATTTTAATCTTTGATCGCCAAAATTACATATTTATGAGGAAATACTCAGACTTATGAACTTACACAGGGTGTGTGTTAAAGCGTATTAAAAACACCATATAGAGACATTAACAACAAAAGCTTGATTTTCACCACAGGGGGACTTTAACCAGTTATGACACACTGTAAAGATGGTGTCATGTGTATATTTACAGTAAAGCAGCTCTGATGAGGCATTTTAAGTCCTAAACTTTAATGAATGCTCATTACAAAGAAACCCTCTGGTATTATGTTGAAGAAAGACATAACCTTCGTGAATGTGTGTAACATGTTGTTCGTGGCGCGGGGAGGCGGACAGCACTGACGTCTATGAAGGGTTTCCACAATAACAGAAGACACGTCCTGTCCGTCTCTCTCTCCCACACAGCCGTGACTCCGGCGAAAGCTAAATGGGCCATTTCCATGTAAATATGAGGCTTGTGTGTGGTTTAATTGCTATGGAGATGACTTGGGACGGACTGTGTGATTTAAGCGATCAGAACGAAGCATCAGGGAGGAGAAAGACGGGGAAGAAGGGATAATGCTGGATGAACAGAAGTTGGAGGTGGAGAAGCTTGTGATTAATTAGGAGACTGGGAATAACCTTTTCTCTGTGTGTGTGTGTGTGTGTGTGTTTCAGGGGAAGAGGAATAAACCCGGAGTGGAGTCCGTCGGGTCTCCCGATTCAGGAAGAGGAAGAGGAGAGAAAAAAGCCATCAAGTAGGTGCAGGGACTTTCATTCGTTCAGTGGGGCTCTTGTTTTTAAGCGAAGCCTGAACATTTCACGTTTCTCCATAGACAACACATGTGTGTTTTAAATCTGAGAAATGTGTTTAAAATGAACATAGCAGCTAAAAAGATGGAAAAAGTACTAATGGGAGTACCTTAGATGCATTAGTAATGTCAAAACAATATTAGAGAAATAATGTTACATGATAGCCCTGAGAATTTTAATTTGTACATTTATTTATTTATTTATTTATATATTTGAGGCAATTAAGTTAAAAATAAGCTTGAAAAAAAGCACTGGGAGTTTCGTTCGTTTAGCATATTGACAAACATTGTTTTGTTTTTTTAGAATGATTGAAACATTATTAATTATTAAAATAATTTTTGGATATCACAGAAAGATCATCTGTGTATAGGAGCATAAATATATATATATATATATGAAGAGTTCAGATGCAAAAGCCTCTAAATGCCATTTGAAATTTTCTTCTTTAATGATGATTTTTATCAAAATTGTATATTTAAGTTCAGTAATTTCACTTAAATGGCAATGATAATTACCTATTAATTGTTATTTAAGTGAAATTACTGAACTTAAATATACAAGTTTGATAAAAAATCATCATTAAAGAAGAAAATTTCAAATGGCATTTAGAGGCTTTTGCATCTGAACTCTTCATATATATATATATATATATATATATATATATATATATAATTAAAAATAATAGCATATCAGCACAAAATATATCTATAAAAAATGTTGCTTCATTAATATTATATTATTAAAATAATAAAAAAAATGGGAAGAATAATATATAAAAAAATAATAAATAATACAATTTCAGTAATAATAATTAAAATAGTTTATAAATATGCCTAATGCAATCTTTTACTGTTTTTAAAATTCCCACAGCCTGAAAGTCAAGATTTCCTTTTTCTAAAATCCTTTTCCTTCTTTTTTTAAATAATTTAAAATTAATTTCCTTTAATTTAAAATAATTTCCTCCTTTTTTAAAATAATTAAAAAAATGGGAAGAATAATATATTAAAAAATAATAAAAATAATACAATATCAGTAATAATAATTAAAATAGTTTATAAATATATACGTAATGCAATCTTTTACTGTTTTTAAAATTCAAGATTTCCTTTTTTAATTTCATTCACCATGAAGTTTTTTCAGTCTAGACTTGCTTTGAACACACACGGTTCGTCTGAATGACCGTTTTCCTCTGTTCTCGCTTCGTGACATCGCAGCTGCTGTGTTAGACTAATGCCTCCTCTGGATTTGAAGCTTGCAGGTGCTTGTGGAAATCAGATGTGCTCATTGCTGTTGTTGAAATAATCACTTGCCATAAATGACCTTTCCCCTCTATACCAGGTCCACCCAACCCGTTTCTCCTGACCTCTGACCTTTGCTGTCTCCCGAATGTTTCTTTTCTTAGCCACATGTGATTGGTTTGTCTCCAGGATTGTGTTTAATAACGTGTGATGCTTCACATCTTTCTCTCCTCCCGCCTCTGATCTGTGATGAACTAATGACCTCACAGGTTTGACCCTGCTCGATTCCCTGTCTGATGATACAGCTCTTCCTCCTCCTGTCCTGAAGAAGAGGAGATCCCGGCCTGTGTGTGGATGAAATGGGTCGCTCATGTTGCACTGACGTGTGTGTGTGTGTGTGTGTGTGTCTCTTCAGTGATTTAGACAGAGACTTTTGGAATAACAATGACAGCAGTTCAGTGCAGCAGCGCTGGAGCTCATACCCGCCCAAGGAGTTTGTACTAAACATTTCTCCTTATGCCCCTTACGGAGATCCACGCCTCTCACTCAAGTGAGTCTCAGTTCAGGCTGGTAAGAGACACCAAACCCCTGACCCGCAACTCATTCCTCACCCCAACCCCAACCCTTCCCAAACGCAGAGATGTGTTCTGCAGGCTTTAATAGTCTTTCATTCACGGACAGCCGCCCACTTAGACAGGAAAACACCGTCGTACTGACGCACGCTGGAAACTGACCAAATACTTGATTTTTTTTTTTTATTTGAAATTGATACCACGAAATTAAATGTTCCAGAAAATGATTTGTATGGTCGATAAACTTCAAGTTGCGTTTTATTTTAATGTTCAGAACAGAATCAGAGGCAAAACTGAAAGTAGGAACACTAAAGCAGAACACATTTTATCATTTGGTTTTTATTTAGTTAATAATCGTTTCCTTTATCTGTCAACAGTTTCTCGATGACGCATGTATTTATGCGACTAACATCTAAAACGGCTAACTAGACACTTTTGTATCAATATGTTAAGTATTATATCGTTTTTTAAAAAATATTATATTATATAGTTTTTTTATGTTTATGCATGTGTGAATATATATATATATATATTAATTATATTGCAAGTTACAATATTATGTGTGTATATATATATATATACAATATTATAAAACGGTTTGCTGAACTGTAATATAAAAATTTATTTTTTCTAATTATATATAAAAAAATCATATACAATCATTACGTTGTGAGTTACAATATATATGATATTCTAAAATGGCTCGCCAAACAGTAATTAATCTTTTTTAATTACATATAATAATCAAATCCATCACATTGTTTTTTTTGTTTTTTTTTTATTTTGTTTTTTATTGCAAGTTAACGAAACATTATAATTTATACAAAAATAAGAGATCAGTGAATTATGTATACATACAAAAGAGAGAAAGACGTACATGGAGTACATACAAGGTAGGCAGAACAAAAATAAGTAAAGGAAAAGAAAAACAAAGACAAAAACATGTATGCAAGTACATTGGTATGTTTTAAGCAATGGGATATTTTAGAGATTTAGATAGAAGCAATTAACTCAACTTCAACTTCTATCTACATCCATTACATTGTGAGTGTTTATATATATATATATATAGTAATTCACAATGTATTAAGAATATATAAAATAAATTATATATATATATATATATATATATATGTATAGGGTTAGGGTAATTTATATATATATATGTTTATATTACAGTTTGGCCAACCATTTTAGAAGTTGCATAAAGCGATATATATCCAAACATATATAAAGCCTGTTAAAAACGAATGTTCTTCTCACTCTAACAATGCTGGGTTGTTTGAACCCAAATTTGGGTCAAATATGGACAAACCCAACTTCAACTTTCACTTTCAACTGTACATTTTTTAATGCAATTTTTAACCCAACATTTGTTTTTTTCTATATTTGACCCAAATTTGGGTTGAAAAACCCCCGCGTTGTTTAGAGTGATTAGCATTGGTTGTGTGTGTGTGTGTGTGTGTGTGTGTGTGTCAGACGGTTAGTGAGCGAACTGTGGGCGTAGGCTAACACAACCCATATTTTACTGTACCTCATCTCACGTGTTCCCCAACATTATCCCGATCCCGGCAGGGCTGTAATGATGAGGAAGCGTCCCGTATACGCTAACACACTTTCCCAAAAGGATATAATGCCAAACTCATAAATCCTTCATCTGATTGTGATGTACGGGATCGTACACTACCATCACACCAGACCACATGACAAATACGTGAAAGACGAAGTGTGTAATTTCTGCTCCTATATATCCATACCATCAGTTGTGTGTCGCTGTGAAAGAAAAGTGGCTGCCTTGCAATCAACTTCTTTCAAAGAAATTTCAACTTACATATTTTATAAACTTATTTTAAGATTTTCACGACTTTTGCCATCATTTAGCACTAACCTATAGAGATAAATAAAGCTTTACGTTTATAGTTAATCGTTTAACCACTTGATATTTGTGACTTTGTTTCTATAACACATTTCAAAAGGAATATTTATCATATTTCATTCTGGTCATTTTTAACGTTGCTGTAATGTTTAAATTTACGTAATTTATTTTAATGATTAAAATTCATGTAATATTTGCTGGTTATCTGGTTATCTGGCTGGTTAATTAAAATAATCACTGACTTATTGATATCATCCATTATGTCAGTTATATGCTTTTATAGTATTTATTAATATTTTGAATTAATATTTATATTCTTAGATGTAATTTTAATCAAAGTCTTAGTCAATTTGCTATGTGTTTTTGTCTTTTTTTAATATATATATATATATATATAAATTTCGCTTTAATTTATTTAAGTTTTTGTTTTTATTATCTTAGCAAACTTTTTTTATTTCAGTTAGTTGGCAAGGCAAAATTTCAATGTACATTTTTATATATATATACAGTAATTGCTTTAATCATTCCAGCTTTGTCTCAGTTAAACATTTGTAATAGTTCGGGCACCAATCGTAAGTCTCCGGTGTGTTCAGTGGTGACGCTCGTGACAGAAATTGCACACTTCACGTGTAACCTTGTGATATGAATGAAAGTCATTATGCAGGTTCTCTCCTTGACTCCGCTTAGCAGGACTGCAGGGAATATCAGTATATCGGACCGTTTGCTAATCAAAGCAACAGCCTGACATTCAAATCTGTTTCGGTTCACCCCAAAAACTGAACCATTTGACCCTAAATGTCCCTCACTCCCTACAGCCCTGCTCGCCTCTTCTCAGCACATGACCTTTAACCTTCCCCCCCTCCCCCCATGGGGTGTTACCATGGAGACGGACAACCCTCCAGCTTCAGCTATCCAGCGAACAGCAACAATAACAATAACAGAAACAATCGAACCATACGGCGCTCCCTCAGTGGCGAGGGTTGACCGTTAGTCTGGCTGTGGTGTGGTGACCCCTGTTCTGCCCTGCGCTTTGACCTTTCTCGGGCTTGTCCTCGATGTGTCGCTCCAGCGGTAAACCCTCACCGGCCTAATCCAGACAGGTTTCGCTACAGAAGGGGTTCAGAATCAGATGGGCCGGCCGGTCTAGAACATGAACATGAACTCTCCTTGCTCTGTGGACCTGCTGGATTAAAGCGGTGTGGGTGAATGCACTAAACACACACGCCGCAGATTCAAGCAGAACAGCATCTTCCTCGCTTATATAGTTAGAGTCATGTTGGGTAGATAGTTTAGATGCTTGTATCATGGGATGCACAATAGATCACCCACTGGCTCTAAATAAATAGAGGATTTGGTTACACTTTATTTTAAGATGACACTCTAAAAATGCTGGGTTGGTTTAACCCAACTTTGGGTCAAATATGGAAAATCCCAAACGTTGGGTTAAAAATGTAATTAAAAAAATGTAACCCAATGGCTGGGTTTGTACATATTTGACCCAAAGTTGAGTTAAACCAAACCAGCATTTTTAGAGTGTAATACTAACTAACTACATGTACTTACTATAGAGTTACACTCTAAAAAATGCTGGGTTATTTCAACCCAAATTTGGATCAAATATTGACAAACTGGGTTAATTGGGTTAGCATTTGAAATTACATTTTTAACCCAACGTTTGGGTTTGTCCACATTTTACCCAAAGTTAAGTTAAAACAACCCAGCATTTGAGTGTAACTCTATAGTAAGTACATGTAGTTAGTTAATATTACACTCTAAAAAATGCTGGGTTGTTTCAACCCAACTTTGGGTCAAATGTTGACAAACCCAGCCATTGGGTTGCATTTTTTAATTACATTTTTAACCCAACGTTTGGGTTTTTTCATATTTGACTCAAAGTTGGGTTGAAACAACCCAGCATTTTTTAGAGTGTAATATTAACTAACTACATGTACTTAATATAGAGTTACACTCAAATGCTGGGTTGTTTTAACCCAACTTTGGGTAAAATGTGGACAAACCCAAACTTTGGGTGAAAAATGTAATTTCAAATGCTAACCCAATTAACCCAGTTTGTCCATATATGATCCAAATTTTGGTTGAAATAACCCAGCATTTTTTAGTGTACGAATAGGGTTGGGTTAGTGTTAGTACTTGTAATTATGCATATTTCACTGGTAATACTATAGTAAGTACTAGAGCCAGACCGATATTAGGCATTTTCCAAAATATCGGTATCGGCAGTTATAATGGCCGATAAATGAATATTTAAAAAATAAAATAAAAACGGGCGAAACACGCTTCAATCATCTCTCCTCAGCCTGTTATATTGAAAATGTATGTTTTACAATTTGCAGTATGATGTCATCTATTGCTAATCATAGACTAGCTAACCACAAAGCTAGCTAATGCCACTTTCGTCAGTGGAAGACCGCTAATGAGCTTGGAAACCACAATGAGCTTTTTCTGCCTAAATAAAGTAATGATTACTGTATTTATAACTAGCATATCTCTAGTTACAGTCCCTGCAGTGTAAAATGAAAGTTATACTTGCGAGGAGTGAACATTTAGACATAGAGAAAAAGTATCAAACGTATCTTGTGCAGAAAAGTTAGCTTTTCTTTTACACGTGTGTGAAATCCAACAATATTTAATAAATAAAATATCGTCCGATATATCGGAATATCGGATTTTAAAACCCAAAAATATTTGTATCGGTATCGGCCTTCAAAATCCTTTATCGGTCGGGCTCTAGTAAGTACATGTCGTAACGGGTAACTACACCTTGAAATAATTGTTTTTATTGGTAAATATAGGCTGATTTTTTTTTTTTTTAACTTTTTCCATTTTTATGTTTGTCTTCAATTAACAAGCACTTAATTACACTAATAATTTGAACATAATGGCACATCTCAAAAATAATATCCATGCCTAAATTCACCCTATGACGGTATTCACGATACAATATCAGATATTGACCATAACATGAGAAATAATATTGACCAGACGTGCATCGCCGCTAAATATATTATTATTATCATCATCATCAGTTCGCTCAGTTATTGGCCATAACATGAAAAAATTGCAGTAAACCGAATACATGCATGTAGTGTTCCTGTCGTGGTTTTGTTTGGATCTGCGGCGTCACTGAAGCTGTTTTCTCCTCTCCTGCTGTTGTTGATGTCGTGTTTGAGTGGTGTGGCGGTGTTCCTTAAATCTCCTGATAACTGCATGATGACTTTCACCAGGTCCCCCGATTATGAAACGCCGATGACTCAAGGCTGTCATTAATGCGACGCATGGTGATTTGGAGCCTCAGGGTCGTTGTAATGTAAATCCACTCGTGAGGCTCTGCTGCGCCCCCTATAGGAGGATCTGCACCCCGGGTGATTGTGTTGTGTGTTGTAGCTCGCTGTGAGGTCACGCATGTCACACTCTCACGGGATAAATCACGGTTATTTATCCAAACCTGTAACCGTTTCTTCTCTCCCAATGTGTGTCCTTTCCCTCTCTCTCCGGCGGCCCCTCAGTGGGGCGGTGCCCGGGGGCCAGCGGGGGTCCGTGGGGGGGGTGTTTGGGGACGGAGGGGGGCCGTCCCGCAGTGACAGCGTGAGGAACATGATGACGGGGGGCATTAAAGCCGGCAGGTGGCAGACGGTGCAAAGCCGCCTGCAGTCAGGAGACTTCAAGAACGGCAAGTGAGTCCAGCCCGCCGGAGACGTGTGTGTGTGTGTGTGTGTGTGTGTGTTTAAGAAAGTTTGTGTGAGATTTCAGGCCGCCCTGCAGTCTAATAATAGCAGAATCCGTTCGGCTGACTCACACACACTTGACGATCACTCATTTCAGTCCATTATAAAACACAACACCGCGATGACTCAAAAGACGGCGTAATTGCTGATATCATGCGCCTGCGAATATGAAATGTGAGGGATAATAAATATAACTGTGTGTTTGACCGATATTACAGACCGGCGGACTACATGATCTGGCTACTTAACATATTAATGCACTGGAAATATTGAGTTTAGTGTCGACACTGATTCAGAATGCGGTTTCTTATTGCGGACGATTCGAGGAAAAACAACGGCCTGCATAATCATTCATATTTCTGTTTCGCATAAATGCTGTGCTTTTCAACAAGATATTTCCACATAAATATGAAGCAGAAACTGTTTTCAACATTGATAATAATAATCATAAATGTGTCATATTAGAGTGATTTGTGAAGGATCATGTGACACTGAAGACTGATGATAAATTCAGCTTTGATCACAGGAATAAATGATATTTTAACATATATTCACATAGAAAACAGTTATTTTAAGTTGTAATAATTTTACTGTTTTTTTTTTTCTCTAAAATTTTTTATCAAATTCTCTTTTTTGGTCAAATAAAGAGTTTTCGTTCAAAAATCTCACAGAATCTGTTGAATGATAGTATAGATATGCACAGAGAATGATAACTCCCGTCTATAGAATGGGGAACTCATGAACACGTGTAGCTAGTCTAGCTTCAGTTCATCTCTTTAAAACAAAGTGATCGGCTCTTTCAACTGAAGGACAGGACGATTGTGGTCAATTTCTTTTTCCCTCTGGAAATACACAATGTTCCCAATCCAATCAGTTCCAGATGGTGAATTTCACAATTGGTTTATATGTTGATTTCATTGTGTTTTGTGAGAAAAAAGAATCTGCAAGATGAAACATGAAGCTAACAGCCATTATAATGTTTACCGTTGCGTATATATTTGACTGAATGTAGAGTCAAGATAGAATAAATCAGAATCAAGTAGAATTAAAAATAAATGTTCTTAATTGGATTCGATGGTTCCATAGAACGTCCGATCCACAAAAGTTTCCCCAGTAAAAAAAAAAAGATTTCGATGATTAGAATGTTCTTCACACTAAGAAAACAAACGGTTCTTTTTAGAATGTTGGCACTTCTATGACATCATCACTGAACCTTTAGTTGTAAGAGTGTGTTCCAGTGAACTGTGATGAGAGAAGATGATGCGTTCCCATCTGATGACTTTCTGAAGAGCAGATCTTTCTAACGATCGGCACACAGTTTTATAGAAGCGTTTCGGAGACACGAGCGATGGATGGCCGGAGGATGTTAAACACCAGTTTTCCATATTAATCGCCGTGTAGCACAAAATATTAATGCGTCCTATAAACGTCCCGTAAATGTGCTTAATATTTCAGTGAATCGTAATGTGTGTCTGTCAGCAGTGTGAAATGAATCCTGAGAGAGGACGAAGTTTCATTAGATCGGTAAAAGAAAGTTTAGACTGATTCGTTTTACTTCCATAATCAGTGTATTTCTGACGCAAATACAGCAAATAAACAAATGATCAGACATGTTTTTAAATATATTTTAAAATATACAAAACTATATTGCTGATATATATTTATAGTTATTTAATATTTATATTCATCATATATTTAAATATATATATATTATGGTAAACTATTCTTAAATATATATTTTAATAATAATTTTATATATAAAATGTTATTTTATGATAAATATACTTTATTTATTATCAAACAATGTATTTTAATAAATACATTTGAAAATATATTTACACAAATGTATTTCCGATATATAACAAAAAAAAAGAAAAAAGAAAAATGTAATTTATGACCGGAAATGCATTTTCCTGCCCATCAATTTTTTGCCATATATTTTACGGCCATTCTTTGGTATAGTGTGAAACTAAAAATATTTATATTGTTTACATATTTTGAATTTACAAAAAAAACCCCATTTTTTTATGATTAGAAATATGTCTATGTAATGTATTTTAGCATTAAAGAAATATATTTTCATATTTAAAAATCATATTTTAACTAAGCTAGGCTGTTTACAACATATGTATGTTGTAAACTTGTGCATCATACGTCATTGGTGGTACGCCTCTGAAATATTATTTTACACATGAAGAGTTCAGATGCAAAAGCCTCTAAATGCCATTTGAAATTTTCTTCTTTAATGATCATTTTTATCAAACTTGTATATTTAAGTTCAGTGATTTCACTTAAATGGCAATGATAATTACCTATTAATTGTTATTTAAGTGAAATTACTGAACTTAAATATACAAGCTTGATAAAAATGGTCATTTTAGAAGAAAATTTCAAATGGCTTTTGCATCTGAACTCTTCATGTGTAAAATAATATTTCAGAGGCGTACCACCAATGACGTATGATGCACAAGTTTGGACAGTTTTGATTTCTTGCTGAGTATGAGACACGAAACACCAGGCGAGTGAACGGATGAAGTCATGAATAACACAACCTCACCCAAACAAACCCAGAGCTGCTACAACGCTACTGCCGCTTGAGTGCACACACACA